TTAACTCATGACTTGCCTTAGAATAATAGTAGATGCACTCAAGAATCATAACGAAACTCAACAACACTCCTCCCGAGTGACCCACTTCACGAGACCACATCGTCTCAGTATCCATGAACCATCTCCTCATGCGCACAATAGCATCTCCAACCGGTACACCCATTCTGAAAGATATTCCACGAATTCGAAACTATTTCTCCTATTTTTCCAATACTGCCCCGTAGACCCAATGATAACATATAAAATTCCCCAAGTATTCTTCACACTCTACTGCAAAATCGCGGTCTCCAGTCATATAACGAACCCATTAGAACCACTGTTGAGAGTCATCCACTCTGACTTAATCCCGAATATAAGCCAAACTCTAGTGCGCCGTCAACACATGAACACTCCCAAAGAAGCAACCAGATGAATTATTTTCCTTGTACATCACATCTATCAGAAGCATAAACTTTGAGTCTCCCCAAAATCTGTGCGAGAATCGATAAGGCGAAATATAGCACCCATTCATCAAATCCTTTGCTCGAATTACCCCTAATGTTTTCTTTTCTTAGTCATAAGTAATTCACCAATGCACTGATAACCAGAAGCTGCACAAGAAGACAACCACGCGATCCAATCATAGACGGTGGGCTCCCCCACTTAGCTTTAAGCAACAGGTGCGCCTATGCGCCAAAATGATCACCAAATGAACTTGTCAGATCCTGCATATTTAGTGTAGAAGTGAAACATGAGTACGTAAATCAACGCGTACCTAGTAAGTATCTAGCCTAACCCCGGAGAAGTATTGACGAGTGGTCGACATCGACACTTACTAGAGGTCCAACAAAGCAATATAATAAAACGATAAGCAGATGTGAAGCACACAACCATAATGGGGTAAATCTGTAAGGTACATAATCTTCCAAATATTTCTTTTTAAAGTATGAATTTCTCAATATTGTATTCTACATTAACAAGTTAGAAAATGTCAAGTTCCAAATATCAAATGAATAAGGAATACCATATAAAATGCCGGGCATCAATGGAAAGATAATCTCGTGAATGTTTGGACTGCCAGCGATATAACGCACGATTATGCCGAGGTCATTCGACCCAATCCAGAATAATGTGTACACTGCCAGGGTTGAGCGACATGAACCATAGATGTATCTATATACTGCCGAGGCGTTCGGCCCGCTCTACAAGAAAAGGAAGGAAGTTATCAAATTATGAGACATATGCTTACAATACAGTACATGAGTACAAAGTGAATAGAATATTTACCGTTTCTCAAAAATAACTAGCCAACAACTCAAGGTGATCAGGCTCGACCTAGTATACATATATTTATTTCTAAATTAATTTCAATTAATTAAGCCAACAGAATGAATTCAAATATTTCACGTATTATATGGTAATGTCCTAAGTCTACCCGAACATAAACATGCTTTAGCTACATACGGACTCTCGTCACCTCGTGCGTACGTAGCATCCACAACTATTAGCACATAACAATAACATCACCTAGGGGTAGTTTCCCCCTCACAAAGTTAGACATGAGACTTACCTCGCTCCGAAGTTCCATAACCGGCTCCAACGCCTCTCTAACACCTCAACTCAAAGCCAAACGTCCCGAAACTAGTCAAACAACATGGAAATCAATCGAAATATACTCCAGTGCTTACAATTTATAACAATTCCCAACTCCGCTCGAAAAGTCGATAAATTCAATGTTCATGCCCACTTGCCCGGATTCTATAAGTTTTCAAAGATAAACTTTACCCATAACACCACGAACTCAAATATATAATTTATTCCAAATTCCATGTTTAATTTCGTGGTCAAAATCCAAAAATACCAATTTTTAGGTTTTCTACCAAAATCCCAAATTTCTACTAATTTTCATGTTTAAATCCATATATAAACCATATATTTAACTCACAAGTTGTAGGAATCACTTACCTCATAATTGACGACAAAGATGGCGCTCCAAAATCGCTCCAAAGTTCGCTCCCATGGAAGAAATAAAGTGAAAATGATCCAAACCCACGTACTTAACAAGCCTTATGCCCAACGACCATCGCACCTGCAACCACTTGACCGTATCTGTGGTCCCGCAGGTGCGGTGCAACCATCGCATCTGTGAACACCCCACTTCCTCCAGTACTTTGCTTTTGCGGACAAGGGTTCACTTTTGCTAGTCTACTTCTGCGGATGTTTCTCCGCTTCTGCGCGTCTTCATCCCAGGCCCCATTCCGCTTCTGCGCTCCACTGCCCGCACCTGCGAGCTCGCATGTGCAGTAAATTCCTCGGACCTGCGAATCTAGCCAACCTCAGTCCCCTCCACTTCTGCGACCTCTTTGGCCGCTTCTGCGAGCTCGCACCTGCGGCCCTTTCTACGCAGGTGCGATTGCACCCCGTCTCAGCTACCTCAACTATCCTTCCAAGTCCAAACTCGATCCGTTTCCAATCCTATTCGCACCCGAGGCCCCCGGGACCCCATCCAAACATACCAATACATCCCAAAACACGATGCGGACTTAGTCAAAGCCTCAAACCACGCCATACAACATCAAAATTAGAATTGACAATCCAAACCTTTCTTTAAACTTTCAAACATTTCAAACTTCGACGAACGCATCCGAATCATACCAAAATATTCCGAAATGATGCCAAACTTTGCGTATAAGTCACAAATCATGATACAAACCTATTCCAAGGCTCGAAACCTCAAACGGACATTGTTAACACCGAAGTCCACTTCAAATCAAACTTAAGAAATTCTTAAACTTTCAAAATGCTAACTTTCCATAATAAGTGCTGAAATACTCCCGATCCACCCAATACTCAACCCAAATATACTCCCAAGTTCAAAATCATCATAGGAACCTAGTGGAACCTTCAAATCACTATTCCGAGGTCGTTTACTCAAACGTCAAACCTTAGTCAATTCTTCCACTTAAAGCTTTCGAAATTAGAATTTTCTTTCCAAATCAACTCCGAACTTCCTGAAATGCAATTCCAACCTTACGGACAAGTCATAATAACTGAAGTGAAGCTACCCAAGGCCTCAAACCGCCGAACGACGTGCTATAGCTCAATTCGACCTTCAAATCCTCAAATTAAAGTTTATGAAGTTTCTATAATGTTTCCCAATTTTTCCAACCCAGAACACTAATTAAATGGTAAAAATAATGATAGATTCATGTATATTAACCAAATCCGAGTTAGAATCACTTACCCCAATAAATTTCTTAAAAATCCCTTCAAGAATCGCCTCAATCCAAACTCCCTAAGTCCAAATGTGAAATAATACTTCAACCCTCATTTTTGAAATTATATAATCGCCTCCTCTTCGCAATCGCGAAAAGCCCCTCGTGATCGCGAAGAACAAAAAAGCTTCTATGCTCAAAATGACCTACGCAAATGCGGAAAACCAGTCACGAACGCGATGTACAAAATCTCAAACCTACACAATCGCGGAGTCCCTCTCGTGATCGTGAAGAACCATCGCGTGGGCTTCCCAGGCCTCCCCCTTCCTTCTTCGCGGACGCACCCCAACATCCCTGTTCACGATGCATGAACAACAAAAGCTCCGCGATTACAGACCAATTCTCGCGATCACATAGACCAACTCCACCAGTCACCCAAACAAGCCTTCACGATCGTGGACCTTCACACGCGATCGCGTAAAAAGAAACCAGATACCTGAACATCAGCAATCCCATAAGGCTAAACTCAAGTCTCAAACCAATCCGAATATCACCCGAGGCCCCCGGGACCCCATCCAAACATACAAACAAGTCCTAAAATACTATACAAATTTAGTCGAGGCCTCAAATCACATGAAACAACATCAAAAATATAAATCGCACCCCAATTCAAGCCTAATGAAACTAATGAATTTCCAACTTCTCCAATCGATGCCGAAACCTATCAAACCAACTCCGATTGACCTCAAATTTCGCATACAAGTTATAAATGACACAACGGACCTATTGCAACTTTAGGAACCAAAATCCGAGCCCGGTAACAACAAAGTCAACTCTTGGTCAAACTTCTCAACTCTCCAAACTTTAACTTTTCCAACTATCGCCAATTCAAGCAAAAATCACCTACGGACCTCCAAATCAATATCCGGACACACTTCTAAGTCCAAAATCACAATACGGAGATATCAAAACCATAAAAACTCTATTCCAGAGTCATTTACACATGAGAAAACATCCGATCAACTCTTCAAACTTAGGCTTCCAATCTTGGGACTTAATGTCCTAATCCATTCCGAAATATCCCCGTAACCAAACCAACCACTATGGCAAGTCACATAATAACAAATGAGCATAGAATAAGCAATAAATGGAGAAACAAGGCTACAATACTCAAAATAACCGGCCGCGTCATTACACAAACGTGGTTAACTCTTCTAACTTAAAACTTCCTATTTAAGAACCATTCTTCCAAATCAATTTTGAATAACTCGAAGAACAAAACTGACCATACACGCAAGTCATAATACACCATATGAAGCTACTCAAGACCTCAAGCTACCGAGTTGAATGCAAATGCTCAAAATAACTGGTCGGGTCGTTACAGATTCAAGCTAGCCATACTAAGAAGCAAGTTATCACTAACAACATCAAAACGACTATTAAGCTCCTGAAATTGCAAATAAATCACTACATAAAAAATCTCAACACATAAGTGATATGAATAATTAACACTAGAAGGCCTACACTTCGACTTTCCAGGAATATAGAATTCTTCCATCCCGGGTACCAAAATTTCATGTTTAGCACAAAATAACGAGACTTTATCCATTAATGATTCCCATCCTCCATCTCTCATTAGTTTCAAACTTTCCTTTGTAAGGTCAAGAAATATCATGACATTGATAATATATTGCTCTTTCTTCTGTAAAGCTTTGCTCAGTTCGTTTGATATCAACACTACTTCAACATCAAGTGAAGCATGAACACAAATTCAAATGCATTGATTTTACTCAAAAAAGTTTCTGCTTACAATCTATCATTATCCTCAGAACCTTCATATTCAATTAACCTAAGCACATGAACAATAGATGCAAATAAAACAATAAAGTTATCTGATATTTTACAATATGATCCCCAACGAGTGTCACCTAGCCTTTGAAGCCCTCGCTCTTGATTTAATCCTTTCCCACTTTGAACTTGACCACTCTCTAGCAATTGATCCAACAATTCTGCTTGATGATTCCGAAGTTGATCTCCATGTTTAAAAGATACTCCAATCACATTCAACATGTTAGCAACTATAGAAAAGAAAGTTTTCACCTCATATTTTTTAGCAACCTCTACAAGAGTCAATTGTAATTGATGAGAAAAATAATAAATTCAATAGGCCGAAGTGGTTTCTTGCAAAATTAAAGCTTTAAGACCATTTATTTTTTCTTGCATGTTACTAGCTCTATAATAGCTGTGTCCACATATTTTGGAAGGACGTAATGAGTGTTTCATTAGTAAAGAAAATATTGCTTCCTTCAATGACTTTGCAGATGTATCACCAATACAAACGAGGCCAATAAATGGCTCGTTCACTTGGCCTCTTTTGTCAACATACCGCAAAGCAAGGATCATTTGTTCATGGTACGAAATGTCCTTGGACTCATCAACTAATATCCCAAAATAATCTCCACCCAAATCATTAATTATAGCTTCCATGATTTCTTGTGCACAAGCACTCACTATATCTTTTTGAATTTTCGGTGAAGCCATCATATCAATTTTTGAAGCATGTTTCAATATGACTCTATCTACATGAGGGAGTCTCTTTGCAATCCATTCCAAAATCACTAGAAAAAGGCCTTTATTTTTTGAAGATTCACTTTCATCATGACCTCGAAAAGACAATCCAAAGTACAAGAGGAACCTTGCAACATTGTTGAGGCATTTAAATATATTAAGTGGTCACTTCTTTGTTTCTGGAATTGCTTGTCAAAAGCAACTTGAATTGATTGAGATTGATTTGACAAGTCTAGCATCTTGTTGAAATACTTATGGTGTAGGTTATTTACTTCACCAACATGTAAAGCAAGTCTTTTCGAACCTTTTCCAAGCTTTAAAGCCGGTTTTTGTGAAAGAGTCACTCGTGCTTCGATGAACGTAATCAATTTTGAATAAACATCAGCTTAGATAAAATATGGAATCTTTCTTCACACTATACTCTATCCATATATAATACAAATCTTTAAACCAAACCGGACTAAATTGACGCATTTTCTTTTCGAATAAAATTTTAGAAAATTTGTAATCAACTAGTTGGCAAGGTCCTTCTTGAGTGTAGTGTGTTCTTACTTTATCCCGTATTCTAGGACTATATTTATCAATGGGCAGTCGCTCTCTAGGGTCGAGATTAAGCAATTTCTCATCAAACTCATCTATAGGATGGAAGGAATAGTTTCTAAGACAAGAATTTGATTGAGAAGAATTAAAATTCATCAAAAATACGTCAATCTCAATTCACAAGACTAAGAACTTCCTAATAACGAGTCCAATAAATTTAAGAGTCCACCAAGATTACAAGAAAACACAATATCAATAGAGGAATCACACCCGTTTTATCAAGAATAAAGCAAATACTACAATATTTAAGTGATTCTTGGATAAGTAAAACATGAAATAGAGAACATAATAGGAACAAGACAACACATTAAGAAACATGATAAATAGAGTTAGTGACGAGCTATACAATTACTGTTCACTTCAGTAGTCTCGGCAATGAAAGTAGACATGAATCAATTCCGGCAATATAAATTAAGTCAGTTGTACATTTACTCAGTTCAGATAAACCGAATACAATATTTTTTCAGAAGTTCAGAACAATGACATAATTCAACTAAGTGCAACAACAAAGGAAACAAATGTAACCTTTTAGGGTAGCAATCACTCAAGCTCTCAATAGCTCAAACACTCGGCTCTCAACCCTCAATAATCATACTCAATAGGTACCTGCGGTCACTGGGGGTGTACATACTCCCGATGGGTTTCTTCAGCCCAAGTGTTATATCGCTGTAGCGTGCAGCCCGATCCAATCATATAAGTAGCCATAAGGTCGTTGCGGCATGCAACCCAATCTACAGTCCATAAATAGCCATAAGGCTCGTTACGGCGTGCAACCTGATCCTTATACATTCAGCCCTCAGGCTCATTGCGACGTGCAACCCGATCCATATACACTCACATAGCTAACAGCTTGGCACTAAGGCCCTATCTCAATCACTAACCTCTCCAGCCTCTCGGTCTCTCAGAAATCATACAAATCAGCCCAAAAGAAATAATAACAAGTATCAACAAGAAAACAAGAGAACACATAGATATGACACGCAAGTAAAATTGTGACTGAGTACAAGACTGCAAATAGCAGCTAATTCAACAAGTACCCGACCGCAACAGGTCCCAACCGTGATATCATATGGCCTAAGCATGGTTTCTAACATGAATGGCAGTCAAATTTCTAGAAGATAGAGGGAACATCTAATTAACAATAAGCTATTCGACTTTACAGTCCTACGAAACGAACCAAGTCACAATCCCCCACAGTGCACGCCCACACGCCCGTCACCTAGCATGTGCGTCACCTCCAAAATAATCACATCATACCAAAATCCGTGGTTTTATACCCTCAGGACCAGATTTAAGACTGTTACTTACCTCAAACCGCGAAAAATCTTACTCCAAAATGTCTTTGCCCCTCGAATCAGTCTCCAAATACCCCGAATCTAGCCACAAGCAGTACAGTATAATTAATATAGGCTAAAGGAATCAATTCAATTACAAGCCAAAATCTAAAATCAACCCCCCGAGACCACGTCTCTAAATTCGACAAAAGTCACCAAACCCGTAAGCCCATTCACTCACGAGTCTAACTATACTAAATTTATCAAAATCCGACACCATTTGGTCATCCAAATTCCCAAAATTCACTCTCCAATTCTCTAGCCCTAAACCCCCAAATGTAACCTCAAAAACTCACCAATTAGGTAACAAATCAGTGGGGAAACATCCTTATTGAAGATAAATGAACACAAGGAGCTTAGCTCAGTAATCACTTCAAAATCCTTCTCAAACTCCTCCAAAATCCGAGTTCAAAATAGTAAAATGGTGAAAAATCTCCAAGTCCCGTATTTATATGTTCTGCCCAGGCCTTTCGCACATGCGGCCTTATTTCCGCACATGCGCAAGAATATACGCACCTGCGGAACCCACTAAAAACACTGGGCTCACACCTGCGCTCCAGGTCTCGCACCTGCGGAGTCGCTTATGCGGCCCTTCGTCCGCTTCTGCGGAAATGCCCAAACTTTCCCTTTCGTCCGCAGATGCGCATCCTTTCTCGCACATGTGCCCCTTGCCCTTCCTGGCCTTGCCCGCATCTGCGGCCTCCTCTTCGCTTCTATGGGTCCGCACCTGCGGTCTCCCTACCGCAAGTGCGAAACACCAGAATACTAGAAAACTCAGCAATTGCCTAAGTCCCAATTTCAACCCATTAAGCATCCAAAACACACTCGAGGCCCCTGGGACCTCAACCAAACATACCAACAAGTCTTATAACCCAATACGAACTTAGTCGAACCCTCAAATCACCCTAAACAACATAAAAACATGAATTACACCCGGATTCAAGCCTAATGAATTTCTAAACTTCTAAATTCCACAAACGATGCCGAAACCTATCAAACCGCGTCCGATTGACCTCAAATTATTCACACAAGTCATAAATGACACCACAAACCTACTCCAATTCCCGTAAATCCAATCCGATCCCGATATCAAAATTTTACATTCTCGGTCAAATTTGCCAAAATTTTAACTTTCGCCAATTCAAGCCTAATTCTACTACGGACCTCCAAATTATATTTCGGATGCGCTCCTAAGTTCAAAATCACCTAACAGAGCTAACAGAACCATCAAAATTTAAATCAGAGGATGTTTACACATATGTCGACGTCCGGTCGACTTTTCCAACTTAAGCTTCAAAAATAAGAGACTAAGTGTCTCAATCCACTATGACAACACTCCGAACCCGGACCCGGACCAACCCGGTAATTCATATAACAACTGTAGAACACAATAGAAGTAGAAAATTGGGACACGAGGCTACCCCTCTCGAGACGACCTGCCGGATCGTCACAAGAATATGGTCCATAAATCAAGAGACCACTCAGTTTTAGAGAAAACGGGAGCTCAACCTAAAAAAAATTATTTGGATAAATTTGGGGTTTACCAAGAATTCTTTTACTGGCGATTGTTGAACTAAAAATTTGAAAGCTAAATAAAATCATATAAGCTCCATCTCCAATTATCCATTCTCTTATAAATAAAAAATAAGTTTCAAAGTAAGAGAAGCACTAACAAGATATTTGATGCCTGCTACTTTTTCAAAGTACTGAGAGGAATTGAGGAAGAAGAGTTAGTATTACCTTCTCTATTTTGGAGTGAGGAGCGAATGGTTTGGCGTTTTGGGATTTTTGATTTTGGGGGTGGGATTTTGGAGAAGAATAATATAATATAGTTGACTATTATGTATAACAATTACAATATAAGTAAATTGAGAAAAGCAAAAATAAAAAATATAAATCAGTCAATTTTTGACTACTGACTAATAAATAGTATTATTGTACAATATTACTAGTACATAATTCCTGTTATAAAAAGAAAAGCAACTAAAAAAACTGAATTTGCAGGAGGCCGATTTCGAACTCGAGTCTTCATGGACGGAACTCAAGCAACACAAAAGACCATTGCTCCAGCCCGCCTTTCATTATTGAGGTAGCAAAAACAATATTTAAAGGGTCTCCAAAGTATATACAGCTATATATAAAATATATATACAGGGTTTTTGTCTAGGCTAACAGGTTCCCATGACCCCCTAAGCCCCTGTGTAGGTCCGCCTCTGCCTAGCAAGTGGTGTTAGATGCCATCACGACCCCGTGGGTTGGGATATTTGGTCTTGACAAGTTAGTATCAGAGTCTTAGGTTGCATAGGTCTCACGAGTTATGAGCAAGCTTAGTAGAGTCTTGAGGATCGGTATGGAGATATTTGTACTTTTCTTCTGGAGGCTATAAGGATTTAAGAAAATTCACTTTCTTTCTTTCTCTAATATGCGTCTTTTTTATATCATAAAGTTTGAATCTTTTGTTGCAGCCAAACACACACACAAGTATACGCGGTCGTCAAGTAATAAAGTGACTAGAAGTCGAATGTCGAACCCACGAGGACTTGTTATCAACTATTAAATAAATTATACTATCATAATTATCTAAACAAGAATTAAACCCCAAAGTATTTGATTCTAAACTAATTAAAATAAATAAAAACAAATAGCGAACTCTGAACAAAGGAAAAACGGATCTTTATGATATAAATGTAATGAAAACGATCTAGGGTCATGAGCTGTCTAACAATCCTACAGTATTCTTCAAGTGAATTGACTAATTAATTTATCTGATTTATTGGTTGACGGGGTTAATATTGCTCATAAGAATTTGTCGATCTCCTACTCGCCTATTCAAGCTAACCCAATGCCTATATATCTATAGAGTTAGAATCAACAAGAATGCATTTATAATTTACGTATAATAACCAAGCAAGGAAATTAGCATATGTCTATCCTAACTTCGAATCCATTCCCCGATGCCCGTGTTCAAGAACATGCCATACTCAATCCTATGTGCAATCTAGAATTTTTACTTTCGAGTTCAATTCTAGATTCATAGATAGTATTCAATTGGTGATCAAAAAATAAAATAATTAAGTGCAAGATTGAGTAAATAAACCAATAAAACAAATCAAGAAATCAAAATCAATATTTGAATAACAATAGTCATGAAAGAACCACAACCCTAGAACGTGAAGTTTAGCTCCACATAGACATGGTATCCAAACAATAAATTATCCAAATAAACATAAAAATTACTAAGTTTGGTGGAAGAAAAATAGAATATGATGAATTTTGGCCTCCACGATGGCTCCGTGCTCTCTCTTGGTCAAAGGTTACTCTCAAAAACTTCCTCCCCCCTCCAAAATAGGTTTAGACTTCTTTGTATATGAGTTGGGGTGTGTAGGACCGTCAAACCTTGTCCCGAGCGAAGTAGGAGAGTTTCCCATCTCCTAGCGTCTAGGGTAGCGCGTTGTGCTAGCCCTGGCGCTGGCATGTTGGCCAAAAACTTCAAGTCTGTAATTTGCGCCACCCATTTTTTCGCTTTGTTCTCTTTTTGTTTCAAATCGTGCACTTTCGTCCTACATTGCCTCCGGGTGACTCCTACACATAAATATATGGCAAATTAGAATAAATCATTACATTACACATCCGAAATTCATGTAATATGAGTAAAATGCGAGGTAATATGCATATAAATATACATACTTTGAGATGAATATCAATACCCTACACTTAAACTCGTGCTCGCCCTCAAGCAATGGGATTATCAACTCCACCCCGGCAACTTACACATAAACTATGGATGAGCAATTGAATTTTTTAATCATACACTCTACCTTGGACTATGGTCGATACCGTCAATCAAGCATTAACATACAAAATTCACATTCTTACCATTTTCAACACACCCAACTATAAATATTTCAATTAAACCCATTCAAACAACCTACCCATAACCACCCTACCTCAAGAGCCGACTTGTTACCACTAAGTTCCCTCAACTCGCGCACTCACCCAACAAGAGAAGTTATCAACATTACCAATCTGTCATGAGATCATGTGCCCTCGCTAACAAACAAGAGAGTGAATATAAAAATAGTCCACACATTCAAGTATAACTTTGAACATAAATTAAGGACAACACACAAGTGAAAAACGGCACTCACTCTCACAAAGAAGTTCATGTGCATCCCATAGTTGTACCATAAGCTTGCCTGTAATGTACATCTCTACTAATCTAAGCTAGCCAAGTCTAGGATCAATTATGTCTTTCCGGGTTGTAATGTAGGCTAAGGGACGGGTAGGATACATTTAGGACTAAGCCTACTAAACACTTTAGTACACTACACTCAAAAATCATGCACATATTCTTCTCAACCAATTCACTCGCCACAAACCATACACAACATTCCCCCCCCCCTTTATTTTTCAATTAAGCACTTCTACATCCCTACTAGCATGAATTAGTAAGATTAGAAGCTGTGTATTATTTTTCTATACACACCCATTACATTAAGGTTCATCGGCTAGTGGCCTTTTTATAACTTTAGTGCACCTTGTAGGCCCTTCCATGGTCCCTTCCATGGTTCCATTTGAAAGCTACTTCCCAATCTCTCACCTTACTTCTTTTAGAGCCTAAGTGCCTTCAGAGGTAAAAATTCAACAAGCTTAAGTTAAGAACAAAATTAGGGATACGACTTGCAATGTGGGTACCAAGGAAAAGGTCAATAAGTTCAAAGGGGCTAACAATGGAGAAATTTTAGTTGTAAGTGACAAGCACATCTATGATCGAGCAACGAACTGCCTACGTCATCTCCTAGACTAGCACAACTTAATGATTTTGCATCGATTAGCATACAGAGAAAGTTTTAGACTACAAAAGATAGCACATAATATCATAAATCCTCACACACACATTTCACATGACTCAATTAAGACGGTTATGTTGAACTCTCAAGTCAAGCAAGCACATATAGTTGAGAATTTCAAGCAATAATGCATTAGGTGACATACAAATCAAACAACTAAGAACATGAGTCACAGAGTAGGCTATTTATTTCACTTAAGAATCATAATTCAAATCAAATATAATAGGAAGACAGAGTGCATACCATAGCCGAATGTGCCAGCCATCAAACATGTCATGGTTATTTAGAGTAACTCAGTTTTCTTCCTATCATATTGTAACGACCCGACAAGTAGTTTTGAGTATTTGAGCACCATTCCCCAATTTATTGCCTCCTCTATGTTGTATTATGGTTATGTGACTTGACGAGGGTGTTTGGTTATGGTTCGGGTGAGTTTCAGAGTGAAATGGGATACATAGTCCCTAAGTTGAAAGAGTTTACCGTAGTTTGACTTTTGTGTAGACAACTCCAAAATGGAGTTTTGACAATTCCAATAGCCTCATATGGTTATTTTGGACTTAGGAGCGTGTTCGAATATTGATTTAGAGGTCCGTAGGCCGTTTCGGCTTGAATTGACGTAAGTTAGGAAGTTGAAGGTTTGGAAGGTTGAGAAGTTTGACCGGGAGTTAACTTTATTGATATAAGGGTCGGATTCCAATTTCGGAAGTTAGAATAGGTATGTCATGTCATTTATGGCTTGTGTGCAAAATTTGAGGTCAATCGGAGTTGTTTTGGTATGATTCGACGTTAATTTTGTAAGTCGGATGTTCATAGGTTCAATAGGCTTGAATTGGGCTACGATTCGTAGAATCGATGTTGTTTGATGTGATTTTTGGCCTTGAGTAGGTCCGTTATGTGTTTTGAAACTTGTTAATTTATTCGGACGGGGTCCTGGGGGCCCTAGGTATGAATCAGATTGAAATCAGATCATTTTTGGACTTAGTGTTTTGCTGAAGTGCTGTTGTTCTGGTGTCATCTCACCTGAGGATGGTTTGGCCGCATGTGCAACCAATCTGTTGCAGATGCGTAAAAGGCTAGCCAGGTCTGGGGTCGTAGAAGCAGAGGCCCTTCCACAAGCACAAGAGCGCAGATGCGCCTAGGTTCCGCAGGAGCGGACGCGCAGGTGCGCGATTTGGTCCGCAGAAGCAATTTTTTTTATCCTAGTGGGAACTACACCTGTGATGGATTTTTCGCAGGTGCGAGGTCACAGGTGCAACAAATTGGCTCTCAGAAGTGAAAATCACTGGGCAACAGTGTTAAAAGAATTTTAAACGAGGGTTTCATATCATTTTCCATCTTTGGGCGTTGAAAGCTCGGTTTGTGGCGATATTTCGAAGGATTTTCAAAGAAATCATCGGGGCAAATGATTCTAACTCAGATTTGGCTATATTACATGAATCCATTGATTCTTTTGTCATTTAATTAGTGATCTGAGTTGGAAAATTTGGGGATTTGAAGTCGGATTTGAGTAAATCTTGTATGGTTGGAGTTGGACTCGTTATCGAATGAGTGTTCAGATTTTAGCTATGTTGATTACTTTCATGCCTTTAATTGAGTTACCATAATATGTTATATTCATCATCATTAGTCTATCTTCACATGCTTTACTTGTCATCGTTAATACTTGTCTTAACTCTTACTTGCTAATTGTCTTTACATATTTAGTTGAAGTTATTGTTCTCTCTATTCCTTATTCTTTATTCAACCGCTGAGTCCCTTACTTGTAGTTGCTATTTCTTGGAATATCTTATTGTGAAATTTGGTATTGAGTTATAAAGGCTGTAATTCACATTGAGGCAAAGTTGTAAATTGTTGAAATACCATTCTTGTTGAGTTATTCACCTTCAGTTGCTATTGTTGAGACTCTTGTGCATATTGTGATTGATCCTTGGGCTATTTATTACGGAAACACTATTATTGTTGACTTCTTTGGCAAGTTGTGTTATTGGGCACTTGAGGTGCGATTTGTGATACGTTGTGATATTGATATATATGTGGTGGTATAAGGATTGGGGTTGAAACGCATGTGGTGAGATAAGGTGGGCTTGATACGCGTGTTGCTATTAAGGGAACTACTTGAAGCAACGTGAAGTGATAAGGTGGGATAAAACGCGGGAAACTATTTTGGGAAAAATAATTTTCAAAACTAAATGCAAGGCTCCCTCGGTAATATAAGAAAAGATTGTGATTTGTTTTGTGATATGAGACTATGAGGCGGTACCTCGGTAGTGATTCTTGTTGGTACATTTCTATTACATAACTCGTGTTTTGGTTGCTCTATTTCCTTGGCATATTATTCCTTGTTACCTTCTGTGATGCCTTAATTGCCTTACTTCAGTGTAGTTATTTTTGGTATATGTCTTCATTGTCTCATTTCCATTATTTATCATTATCACACTATTATATATCTGTTCAGTTTTCTTATTTATTCTAGTAGGGCCTTGACCTGATCTCGTCAATACTCTACCGAGGTTAGGATTGACACTTACATAGATACCGTTGTAGTGTACTCATGCTACGCTTCTACACATATTTTTGTGCTGATCCAGGTACCTCTTACCAGCCCAGGCACCAGTTAGTCGACTTCAGATTTGGTAACTTCAAGGTATACCTACCGATGTCCACAGGCCTCGGAGTCACCCTCTATCTAGTTTCTATTTCATTTTCCCTCTTTATAGATACTGTTGTATAGGGATGTTTGGTATACTTTTGTAGACATTGTGACTTGATATCATCGGATTTTGGGGAGTTTGTTCCTGTTGAGTTGCGGAGTTCTTTTATGATAGTTGTTGAGTTATTTGAGATTTTTATCATTATCTCTATTATATTCTGCATGTATGTTAGGCTTACCTAGTCTTAGAGACTAGGTGTCATCACGAGATCCTTTGGAAGGAAATTGGGGTCATGACAAGTTGGTATCAGAGCTCTAGGTTCATAGGTGTTACAAGTCACAAACATGTTTAGTAGAGTCTCGCAGATCGGTACAGAGACATCTGTACTTATCTTCGAGAGGCTATGGAACTGTTAGGAAAAACTTCATTTCTTTGATTCCTTATCGTGCGAGTTTGTTGACTTCAAAATTTTGAATCTTTATCTTTCTATTCTCTCATAGATGGTGAGGACATGCATCGCTAGATCCTATGATCAGACACGCGCACCCCCTGCTAGAGTCGCGAGAGGCCGAGGTAGAGGCCCAGGACGGGCACGTAGTGTAGCCAGAGCACCTGCCCGAGCTATGACAGAGGAGTCACTAGTAGCGTCAGTTGGGGGCAGGAACCTGAGGCACTTGTTGCTTACCCCGCACTTTAGGAAACTCTCGCCCAGTTCCTGAGCATGTTTGATACTCTAGCTCAGGCGGGGTTGATTCCACTTGCACCAGCCACATCTCAGGCTGCGGGAGGAGCATAGACTCCCGCATCTCGTACCCTAGAGCAGCAGGGCCATGCTGACAAGATCCCAGAGGTTATACCAGTGCAGTCGGTTGTCCCATTTCAGCCCCAGCTTAGGGCAGCAACGTCTGAGGAGGAGCAGATCAGACTCGAGAGGTACAACAAGTACCACCTTCCAACTTTTGGCGGCCTAGCTA